GAGGCCCCGGTGCACAACTGAGCAAGAGGACAAATACATTTGAGTGTCTAGTTTGAGAAACAGACGCCTCACAGGTCCTCAACTGGCAGCTTCATTAAATAGTACCCGCAAAACACCAGTCTCAACGTCAACAGTGAAGAGGCGACTCCGGGATGCTGACTTGTAGGCAGAGTTGCAAAGAAAAAGCCATATCTCAGACTGGCCAATAAAAATAAAAGATTAAGATGTGCAAAAGAACACAGACACTGGACAGAGGAAGATTGGAAAAAAGTGTTATTGACAGACAAATAGAAGTTTGAGGTGTTCGGATCACAAAGAAGAACATTTGTGAGACGCAGACCAAATGAAAAGATGCTGAGGAGTGCTTGATGCCATCTGTCAAGCATGGTGGAGGCAATGTGATGGTCTGGGGGTAATTTGGTGGTGGTAAAGTGGGAGATTTTTACAGGGTAAAATGGATCTTGAAGAAGGAAAGCTATCACTCCATTTTGCAACGCCATGCCATACCTGTGGACGTCGCTTGATTGGAGCCAATTTCCTCCTACAACAGGACAATGAAGCACAGCTCCAAACTATGCAAGAACTATTTAGGGAAGAAGCAGTCAGCTGGCATTCTGTCTATTATGGAGTGGCCAGCACAGTCACCGGATCTCAACCCTATTGAGCTGTTGTGGGAGCAGCTTGACCGTATGGTACGTAAGAAGTGCCCATCAAGCCAATCCAACTTGTGGGAGGTGCTTCAGGAAGCATGGAGTGAAATCTCTTCAGATTACCTCAACAAATTGACAACTAGAATGCCAAAGATCTGCAAGGCTGTAATTGCTGCAAATAGAGGATTCTTTGACGAAAGCAAAATTTGAAGGACACAATTATTATTTCAATTAAAAATCATTATTTCTAACCTTGTCAATGACTACATTTCCTATTAATTTTGCTATATTTCCTATTCAAACTCATTTCATGCATGTTTCCATGGAAAACAAGGACATTTCTAAGTGACCCCAAACTTTTGAACGGTAGTGTATATTCTTTTCAGTGTAGAAGATAAAGTAAAAACCCAAACCGGTCCGTCATCAATACCGGTATATCGTAAAATACAGTATACCGCCCAGCCCTATGGAGTTGCCAGACTGATTTTTAGAGGGACATGCTGTGTAATAACTATTATACCAAGATAATTGATAGGCTATCATTAGCAATGACCACATCTAGATTAAAAAGATCTATAATATAGTATAATCAACTTCTCATTTAGTGATATGATGAAAGACGTAATCTACATCTTAAATTAGCCATAACATTCAAGATGTACTGTAACAAATAGCATACTTCTCTTTACCAAAAACATTGCTCATCTGATAAAAAAGCAATATTATTATTTGTCAGTCTGTAATGACCAAACATTTGGGAAGAAAGTTAATTGAATAGTTGGAGGAACGTCACCTGGTCCGAGTCTCATGATCTTGGGGATCAGTCCTTTGTACAGCGCCAAGTATCTGGAGAAATAATATAATAATATAATATCTGGAGAACTGACAGAGGCAACAGCATGACGTCTTAGTACATTCATATCCTAACATTCCAAAAAAGAAAAAATATATTACATGACATACTTTTTCAAAATAAATAATACTGGGATCACTTTCTAAATCCCTGTACAGTGTGTGTGAGTGTATGTGCGTGCGTGAACATGTGTGTTTGTAATTACGAGTGTTGGCATTATTGGGCTTAGCTGAGGCGGCTGCCTGCCCTGTTTCTGTCTCCCTCGCAGGTCAGGTAGAGAGAGAGCGCACTAATAGCCATTGGTGTTTAGTGTAGTGTAACTTAAGGGTATACCTACTACCTGCACTAACCCTAATGCATTCAAGGTGATCAGTGTTCCTGGCTGGCGCTGGCTGCCTCCTGCTCCCCTACCCGTCACCCCCCCCCCCCTCCCACACTCCGCCTCCTACCCCCGCCACTGATGGCGTTAATAAGGCTCAACCCACTTCCTCCCTGCCCCTCTGTCTGATTAGATTGACCCGCGGAGCGCCGCGCAGCTCGTTAGGACAGCCTTAACGACGTCTCCCATAGGGATCACTAATTAGCTGCGACTGTGTTGTGTTAGAGAATGGGGAATGGACGAAGCGGGCAGAGTCTCTCTCCCTCCCTCCCTCCCTCTTCCTCCTCCTCCTCCTCCTCCTCCTCCTCCAGCATCAGCCCCCCTAGGCCCCGACAATACACTAGACGACAGGAAGAGGGAGTGAATCAGGGGCCACTGCTACCACAAATACCTATGTGTCACTGCACCAGCCTGTGTCTGCTTGTGTCCCTGCTCCATACTTTAGCAACCTTTACCCAACAACACCTAGGAACCTCATCAAGAGGTTCAGATCTCTTGGCGTAATGGCTAAGGGGTTGAGTCGCTGGACACGGGTTGGAGTCCAGGCTGAGGCAACCTCCCTGACTTCAGCGCGGCATACGTACCCCTCCTCCTTGTAGACCAGGCCCATGGTCTGGAAGCAGGTCCGGTACTTGATCTCTCCCGGTATGGGCTGGGGAGCCTGGATGCGGCTCTTGGCCACGTCAAAGGGAATGTTGACACAGGAAGAGATGGTTCCTGAGGCCAGGCCAATAGCAAACTTCCTTAGGAACTCCAGGGTTGGGTCCTGACAGGGGAAAAGGGAGAGACAGGGACATAGAACAGAGAGAGAGAAAGAGAGAGAGAGAGACAGGGACAAAGAAGAGAGAGAGTGAGACAGGGAAAGAGAAGAGAGAGAGACATAGAAGAGCGAGAGATGGGAGAGAGATAGGGGGAGGTATAGAGACGCTCACTAAAGAGACAGAGGTCTGTGCTGCAGCTGTATCCATGGATGTTCCTCCCTCATATATCTGCCTGGACATATTTTTCTATCTTGTTATCTGCCTGCTCCAGGTCATTTGTTTTATAGGAAACATTTTGGGCTGCTGCAAATATATATTTTATTACTGCTAAACATGAGAGATATCTAGTGATATCTATATATCTCAATGGTGTAGTGATGAAAAAATGTGTGCTTCCTGACTGCAGTTTCCACCTCTCTGATTGGCTGAGCTGAAGCACATGTCAGTTCGTGCGCTTGCTAGGAAAGAGAGGATTTATAAACAGGGTTCATGCAGGCAGACTGCAGAGCGGCGGAGGCATATGGGGACAATTTAGTCTAATTGGGCAGTGACTCTCTCTGCAGCACAGGGGTATTACTGTGTGTGTGTCTGTGTATTACTGTACGAAAGAGAGGGAGAGAAGTCCCGGTTGGCCCAGAGAACTCTGAAGGTTAATTGATCACGATATATATAATTTTTTACAAATGACAGTAGCCTATTGAAATGCAGGTCCTGGTCAAGCCTTTATCTTGTCAAAGATCTGGACACTGAGTGCTGCTGAGTTAAATAACAGCTAATCTTACAGTGCTTGAAGTGCAATAAAAATTTCCGGTCATCAGCCCAGCCTGTCTCTGCTGGAGCAGGTTATATCTATCCTGTCCTGTAGCTACACAATGGTCTGAGCTTCACCTAAAACAGGCTCAACTCCAGTCAATCGTGCAGGTAGGTATAACGCATTATGATGCTGTTATAATGCATAGTAAGACTTATATGACCCCCTTTTACCATCCCATAATGATTCCGTCTAAATACTAGCCATTCTGAGTCAGTTGAAAAATTCCTAAATAGAGTTATGACTGGTTTTCCCCAAAGGATCACTCTCAGAGGCTAAGATAACCAAGCCTAAGACCACAACTTCTTTGTTGTGTAATTTTCCCTCTATGATCACTTTAATACAGTTCATGCATGATAATAACTATCCATAAGCGCCATCCATAAATGCCAGAATCATACAGACCGGGGTGAATTCACCAAATAAACAAAGCTTCAGTTATATGGCTTCCACATCTACTCCACTGTATAACTAACTTCCTCCTGAAATAATAATACACATTGTCTGCTTTCAATTAGTCCATGGAAGTTAAGCTAGTATGCGTCCCAAATGGCACCCTATTCCAGATGTAGTGCACTACTTTTGACCAGGGCCCATAGGGGAACAGGCTGGCGTTTATACACGGGGAACAGTCTGGCGTATGGTAACGTTTCCATTCAACAAAATGTACTTTTGTTTGGGAATCAGGCCCTCTATGCCGGATGTGTAACGTGAACCTTTGAGGATGTTATAGAGAGCAAACAGACGAGGTATTAGCTGCATTCTACCAAACTCCTCTCTGATTTTCCTTCCCCTCAGTTGCCTCACTGACTGCAGTGCTAAGGCTAACCAATCTAACTGTAGTACTTCCAGCATGGCTAACCAATCCAACTGTAGTACTTCCAGCATGGCTAACCAATCCAACTGTAGTACTTCCAGCATGGCTAACCAATCCAACTGTAGTACTTCCAGCATGGCTAACCAATCCAACTGTAGTACTTCCAGCATGGCTAACCAATCCAACTGTAGTACTTCCAGCATGGCTAACCAATCCAACTGTAGTACTTCCAGCATGGCTAACCAATCCAACTGTAGTACTTCCAGCATGGCTAACCAATCCAACTGTAGTACTTCCAGCATGGCTAACCAATCCAACTGTAGTACTTCCAGCATGGCTAACCAATCCAATAGCCATAAGCTTGGCATTTTCACAGACCTGTTGCTAAGTGCCTGAGAGCCACTTATCCTGTATATTAGACAGAGGCTGTTTGAAAGGCTCTAAAATGTATTAACAGGCCTGGCTTTGTCTATGGACAGGACATATACAATTAGTAAGGGAACGTTACTTGGTGGCTGGTCAGTTTGGTTTAGGAATAGATAGTCTAGGACCTACAATACAACTTAATACTAAAAAGAAAAACTGTACACATACAGTTACATCCAACTGATCTAATGTAAAGGAAAGTCAAAAGTCCTTGGTCTGTTTGGTGTAAAAACAGAAAGTCTATGGAAAAAAACAACAGAGATACAGGCCAGGACAGCAACAACATAGACAGGGACATGCAATCTAATCTCCTGATACCTGGCTGGCAGGAATGGCGTCCTTGACATTGAAATAGAATCCAAAGTAGATCATGTTAAAGACGCCGTGGCGCCCCAGGGTCGACGTTAACCCTTTATTCAGCCCTCGCAGGCCAAAGCCGCCTGCGTTGATGATGTTCCGTGCTTGGGCAAACGTGGAGGGCTGCTGTATAGAGGCGAGGTCAGGAGGAGAAGAAAAGAGCACAATGTAAATGACAGAGAATAGAATAGCTCTACTTTAAGTGAGTAAAATAAATAGTTAAGAAAACGTCCTTAAGAAAACATGGAAGGCTGCATGCAGTATGGAGCAGAACAAAACGGCCAATGACTGAGAATAGCAAAGACCCACTATAAGGGCGGAATCCTTAACTTGACGATCGCATAAATCATGCATCGGTGTCAATGGTTACTGTCAAGGTAAACATCAATGGTAAAGGTCAAGTTAAGCATGCAGATCTCAAGTTAGGATTCGGGCCATCATAAGTGACAACAGTGAGATATTAGTGTAGTAATTCCTATTAAACAGTGCTTTTGAATCTCACCACTTGGAATGAATCTCTGTTGGCCTGCAGGCTGACTTTGACCACTTCAAATGGGTTGACCACCAATGCCTCGGTCAGACCTGACCCTAGACCTGCTACTGACAGACCCTGGGAGAGAGGGAGGGCGGGGGAAAGAGGGAGAGAAAGAGGGAGATGGTTAAAAAGGGAGACGTACGGTAGTGAAATATCAGATTCAAGTTCCAGATCAACAGGGAGGGAAAAGGACAGAGGGAATAGTGAAACAGAGAAGGGCAGGTAGCTACAGGGAAATGTATAGGGCGTATTTAATTTGTTAATTTTTGTTATTAGGGGGTAGATCAGCTTTAATATTGCAGATAGATTGTAACTTGTAATTGTCTACATCACTTCCAATCCCCCATATGTATTTTCTCTCTCGCATATATATATATATATATATATACACACACACACACACATATATATACACACACACACACACATATATATATATACATACATACATACATACATACATACATACATACACACACACACACACAGCGAGGGAAAAAAGTATTTGATCCCCTGCTGTTTTTGTACATTTGCCCACTGACAAAGACTTGATCAGTCTATAATTTTAATGGTAGGTTTATTTGAAAAGTGAGAGACAGAATAACAACAAAAAAATCCAGAAAAACGCATGTCAAAAATGTTATAAATTGATTTGCATTTTAATGAGGGAAATAAGTATTTGACCCCTCTGCAAAACATGACTTAGTACTTGCTGGCAAAACCCTTGTTGGCAATCACAGAGGTCATTTGCAGTAAAAATGTTCAAAGGTATGGCATTTCTAATGGGATTAAGGTCTGGAGACTGGCTAGGCCACTCCAGGACCTTAATGTGCTTCTTCTTGAGCCACTCCTTTGTTGCCTTGGCCGTGTGTTTTTGGGTCATTGTCATGCTGGAATACCCATTCACGACCCATTTTCAATGCCCTGGCTTGAGGGAAGGAGGTTCTCACCCAAGATTTGACGGTACATGGCCCCGTCCATCGTCCCTTTGATGCGGTGAAGTTGTCCTGTCCCCTTAGCAGAAAAACACCCCCAAAGCATAATGTTTCCACCTCCATGTTTGACGGTGGGGATGGTGTGCTTGGGGTCATAGGCAGCATTCCTCCTCCAAACACTGCGAGTTGAGTTGATGCCAAAGAGCTCCATTTTGGTCTCATCTGACCACAACACTTTCACCCAGTTCTCCTCTGAATCATTCAGATGTTCATTGGCAAATTTCAGACGGCCCTGTGTATGTGCTTTCTTGAGCAGGGGGACCTTGCGGGCGCTGCAGGATTCCAGTCCTTCACGGCGTCGTGTGTTACCAATTGTTTTCTTGGTGACTATGGTCCCAGCTGCCTTGAGATCATTGACAAGATCCTCCTGTGTAGTTCTGGGCTGATTCCTCACCGTTCTGATGATCATTGCAACTCCACGAGGTGAGATCTTGCATGGAGCCCCAGGCCGAGGGAGATTGACAGTTATTTTGTGTTTCTTCCATTTACGAATAAGCGCACCAACTGTTGTCACCTTCTCACCAAACTGCTTGGCGATGGTCTTGTAGCCCATTCCAGCCTTGTGTAGGTCTACAATCTTGTCCCTGACATCCCTGGAGAGCTCTTTGGTCTTGGCCATGGTGGAGAGTATGGAATCTGATTGATTGATTGCTTCTGTGGACAGGTGTCTTTTATACAGGTAACAAGCTGAGATTAGGAGCACTCCCTTTAAGAGTGTGCCCCTAATCTCAGCTCGTTACCTGTATAAAAGACACCTGGGAGCCAGAAATCTTTCTGATTGAGAGGGGGTCAAATACTTATTTCCCTCATTAAAATGCAAATCAATTTATAACATTTTTGACATGCGTTTTTCTGGATTTTTGTTGTTGTTATTCTGTCTCTCACTGTTCAAATAAACCTACCATTAAAATTACAGACTGATCATGTCTTTGTCAGTGGGCAAACGTACAAAATCAGCAGGGGATCAAATACTTTTTTCCCTCACTGTACAAATACATATATATACATATCCTTTTTAAAAATATATTTCCCTTTACTACTTAACAACCACACCACCCCTTCCCTAATTGGAGTAAACTAGTGAACAACAATGCTTAGGCTTCTACTTCCAGCTTACACATACTATATACATTTTATGGACACAGTCAATTCTACGATAATTATATTTTGTTTGTTTTTACTCCTGAACTTCCTCTACCCTCAACCTCTCCGATCATTTTCATGATGTACATCCGGTTTGCTTCTATATGCCATATCTTTCTAACTGTGCTCTTTCACAAAAGCTCTCAACCTATAACCTATATAGTTATTATGGACACAGTATGCTTTACATTACTTATCTTGTTTTATTAGTCCCATCCTTCAACTCCATTCAACACCTCCCATCTATCTCTTAACACCATCCATATTGGATTTCTATTTGCCATATATTTTTCAACTGTACTGTGATGTTTTACAAAAGTTCTCAACCCTTCTATTCTCATTGTTTGCAAATTTTGCTAAAAGTATTATAATATTATTGATCGATTGACTATCACCCAGTAGTGCTATCTGCAGGGTTAGCTCCAGGTAAATATTGCAATCCTTTAGCCATTCCTGGACCTGTGTCCAAAAACAAGCTACAAATGGACAGTACCAAAACAAATGATCTAATGATTCTGTCTCTTCGCAGCAAAATCTTCAGAGCTGGGAAGATTGTATCCCCCATATAAATAACATTCTATTGGTAGCAAGAATTTTATATAATAATTTAAAATTGAAAGATTCTAAGTTTTGAATCCATTGTCGTTTTGCGTATCAGTTCATAAACACTATGCCATGGGATCGGTACGTCAAAAATCTCTTCCCAACTATTTTTCAATCTATATGGGACGGCTGTCACTCCTTTGGTCCTTAAATGAAACTGATATACTTTTTTATTTATCACAGTTTTCCTTAACCAAGTATGTTCTTTAATGCAAGGCCGACAGACAAGTTCCTTACTTTCTCCCCCTTCCACTTTCCTCTTCCATTTTTGCAGTAAGGCTGCAATTATTTGGTTGTAATTTTGGGTAGAGCAGACATTTCCATATGTTTTTGGTAGCTGCATGTGCAACATAACTCCACCAGTCCTACCGATGATATCATTTACAAAGATTATACCTTTAAAAAAAAAAAAACATCAATTACTATATTTGAGTTTAACCACAATTTTGGTGCATTATTTGTTCTGTCGTTTCTGGAGTATTAAATTGAAATTGCAACCAACTTTCTATGGCTTGTTTTAGAAATAGTGATATTTGGGAGATGATTTCCTTTTCAAATAACTGAAAGTGAGAGGTTGTAATCTGCATAAAGGGAAAAAGGCCATTCTTGAACATTGGGTGAGTTAATCTTAATAATTTGCTAGAGAACCAGTTCGGATTTAAGTATAACTTTTGTATGACTGAAGCTTTTAGTGATAGGTCTAATGCTTTAATATTTCATAATTTCTGTCCTCCGAATTCATATTAATTATATAAATAGGCCTGTTTAATTTTGTCTGGCTTGCCGTTCCAAATAAAATAGAATATTTTTTTCTCATATAATTTAAAACACTTTTTGCTAGGTGTCGGCAAGACCATAAGCAAATAGGTAAACTGGGATAATACTAAAGAGTTAATCAGGGTGATTTTTCCACAAATTGACAGGTATTTACCTTTCCATGGTAGCAAGATCTTATCTATTTTTGCTAACTTTCTATTAAAATGTATTGGAGTGAGATCATTTATTTCATTTGGATATGTATTCCGAGTATATCCACATCACCATCAGACCATTTTATTGGTAAACTATATGGTAATGTAAATTTTTTATTTTTTAGTGATCCAATACGTAATATAGTACATTTATTATAATTTGGTTGTAATCCAGAGAGGTTAGAAAATGTATCTAGAACCTCTATGAGGCTGTGGAGGGATTCAAGTTGTGGATTTAAAAGAAAACATGAATCATCAGCGTACAATGACACCTTTGTTTTTAAGCCCTGGATTTCTAATCCCTTGATATTATTGTTGGATCTGATTTTAATAGCTAACATTTCGATGGCCATAATAAATAGATATGCCGATAGTGGACAACCTTGTTTCACTCCTCTTGACATTTTAAAACCTTCTGAGAAATAGCCATTATTTACTATTTTACACCTAGGGTTACTATACATGATGTTAACCCATTTTGTAAGAAACCAAAATTGAAATGCTCCAGGCATTTATATATAAACCCCAGTCGTACTTTATCAAATGCCTTTTCAAAGTCTGCTATGAATTGCAGGCCTGGTTTCCCAGATGTTCTTTCCAGTACTTGTCTTATATTATCTCTAATGTATCGTCCATGTAAAAAACCTGTCTGATTAGAATGAATAATGTCCGACAATACCTTTTTAATTCCATGCGCTATACATTTAGCTATAATCTTTGCATCACAACACTGAAGTGTAAGGGGCCTCCAATTTTTTTTATTTTCCACTTGTATCCTGTTTCAGTAATAATGAAATCAGACCTTCTTCTTGAGTGTCTGATAATTTACCATTTACATAGGAGTGGTTAAAACATGCTAATAACGGTCCTCTGAGTATATCAAAAAAGGTTTGGTATACCTTGACTGGAATGCCATCCAACCCTGGAGTTTCCCCGGACATAAAGTCTTTAATTGCATCCAGAAGTTCCTCCTCTGTAATTTCACCTTCACATGAGTCTTTCTGTATGGCTGTACATTTTACATTATCAATAGAAAAAAAATCTCTACAATTAGCTTCAGTTAGAGGAGATGGAGGCGACTGAAACGAAAACATATGCTGAAAGTACTTTGCTTCATCCTTCAAAATATCATTTGGTGAATCATGGGTGACTCCGTCATTTGTAACCAGTTTCAGTAAATTATTTTTGGTAGCATTTCTATGTTGAAGATAAAAAAATTATTTGGTGCATTTTCCCCATATTCCATCCAGTTTGCTTTATTTTTATAATATATTACACTTGAGCTTTCTTGAATAAGTTTCTCCATTTCTTTTTGTTTTTCCTCTAATTTATTCTGAGCCTCTATGTTACAGTTTTTATTGCTATCTATCTGTTCTGTTAGACCATCTATTTCCTTTGTTAGTATGGACTCTTTTGACCTAAATTGCTTTTGTTTTCGAGATGAGTACTGAATTGCATGGCCTCTAATGGCACATTTAAAAGTGTCCCATACAATAAGGGGATTTGCTGTACCAATGTTATGTCTTAAGAAATCAGTTATATATTCCTCTGTCCTAGTTAAAAACAAGTCATCATCCAATAGGCTTTGATTAAATTTCCAATATCCTTGCCCACGTGGAAATTCAGTAAGAGTAATGTATATGCCAATTATATGATGGTCCGACCGCATTCTGTCCCCTATCAACACTTTTTAACTTTTGGTGCCAACGAGAATGACATAAGAAAGCAGTCAAGACGACTAGCTTGATTGAGTCTCCGCCATGTATATCTCACTAGTTCAGGATATTTAAGCCTCCATATATCTACTAGTTCTAAAGTATCCATGACATTCACGATTTCCTTAAGAGCATGAGGGTGATAGTTTGTAGTGTGATTTCCTTTACGGTCCATTGAGCTATTTAAAACAGTATTATAATCTCCCACCATAATAATAGAGTCTTGTATTGCTTGCAGGGTTGATAATTTATTATATATATTGTCAAAGAAGTGTGGATCATCATTATTTGGTCCGTAAAGGTTAATGAGCCATATCTGTTTATGGTATAGGGCGTATTTGTTTATAAGGTGTACGTACATAAGGTATATAGTATAAGATGGATTATATGGGTTAACATTGTGAGCGCAGTAGTGTGTTTAAGACAACAGTACAACTGATGATAAAGCTTCATGGCATATAGGGCATATAGCGTTACAGAAACCAGTCTCTCTCAGACACGGACATAGGACATCAGTCTCAGTCATGCTGTGACAGCCATTGTTACATGTCTACAAATGTAAAGAGCTAACAAAACAGTGGATAGAGGGAGCGAGAGAGAGAGAGAAAGATGAGGCGGATGTCATAGACGTTGAAGACGGATGAGGAGGATGCAAAGGCGGATCTGTTCTTGTATGAGAACTGTTGGACAGGTGGAGGAGGTTGTCACTTTCAATGACAAGGGGAAAAACCCCAAGACGACTGGTGGAAGAGTATAGGGGTGAAATGACAGATTTTCCAGAAAAGTAAAACAGTCCAATCGAATGGACATATAATATCAAGTACTTGAGTGTGTGTTTGACGTACAGTGAAGGGTGGTCAACGTGTGTTGAGCCTGTGTGAGGGGAAAAGACCAATGCATGATGTGTGTGTGCGTGCATACGTGTTTGTATGCATGCGTCATATCAATGTTTCTTGGTCACGTACACATATTTGCAGGTGTTATGGCAAGTGCAGCGAAATGCTAATGTTACCAACAGTGCAGTAGAATGTCTCGCAAATACAATACAAATACACAAATAATCAAAAATATCTAAACAAGAAATCAAGAAATAACAATCCAAGTAAATATACGGTGCCTTCAGAAAGTATTCACACCCCTTGACTTATTCCACTTTTTGTTGTGTTACAGCCTGAATTTCAAATGGATTCAATTTAGATTTTTGGTCACTGGCCTACACAATACCCCATAACGTTAAAGTGGCATTATTATTTTTACAAATTAATAAAAAATGAAAATCTGAAATATCTTGAGTCAATACAGTGAGGGAAAAAAGTACTTGATCCCCTGCTGATTTTGTACGTTTGCCCACAGACAAAGAAATGATCAGTCTATAATTTTAATGGTAGGTTTATTTGAACAGTGAGAGACAGAATAACAACAAAAAAATCCAGAAAAACGCATGTCAAAAATGTTATAAATTGATTTGCATTTTAATGAGGAAGTATTTGACCCCCTCTCAATCAGACAGATTTCTGGCTCCCAGGTGTCTTTTATACAGGTAACGAGCTGAGATTAGGAGCACACTCTTAAAGGGAATGATCCTAATCTCAGTTTGTTCCCTGTATAAAATACACCTGTCCACAGAAGCAATCAATCAATCAGATTCCAAACTCTCCACCATGGCCAAGACCAAAGAGCTCTCCAAGGATGTCAGGGACAAGATTGTAGACCTACACAAGGCTGGAATGGGCTATAAGACCATCGCCAAGCAGCTTGGTGAGAAGGTGACAACAGTTGGTGCGATTATTCGCAAATGGAAGAAACACAAAATAACTGTCAATCTCCCTCGGCCTGGGGCTCCATGCAAGATCTCACCTCGTGGAGTTGCAATGATCATGAGAACGGTGAGGAATCAGCCCAGAACTACATGGGAGGATCTTGTCAATGATCTCAAGGCAGCTGGGACCATAGTCACCAAGAAAACAATTGGTAACACACTACGCCGTGAAGGACTGAAATCCTGCAGCACCCGCAAGGTCCCCCTGCTCAAGAAAGCATATATATAGGGCCGTCTGAAGTTTGCCAATGAACATCTGAACGATTCAGAGGAGAACTGGGTGAAAGTGTTGTGGTCAGATGAGACCAAAATGGAGCTCTTTGGCATCAACTCAACTCGCCATCTTTGGTGGAGGAGGAATGCTGCCTATGACCCCAAGAACACCATCCCCACCGTCAAACATGGAGGTGGAAACATTATGCTTTGAGGGTGTTTTTCTGCTAAGGAGACAGGACAACTTCACCGCATCAAAGGGACGATGGACGGGGCCATATACCGTCAAATCATGGGTGAGAACCTCCTTCCCTCAGCCAGGGCATTGAAAATGGGTCGTGGATGGGTATTCCAGCATGACAATGACCCAAAACACATGGCCAAGGCAACAAAGGAGTGGCTCAAGAAGAAGCACATTAAGGTCCTAGAGTGGCCTAGCCAGTCTCCAGACCTTAATCCCATAAAAAATCTGTGGAGGGAGCTGAAGGTTCGAGTTGCCAAACGTCAGCCTCAACCTTAATGACTTAGAGAAGATCTGCAAAGAGGAGTGGGACAAAATTCCTGCTGAGATGTGTGCAAACCTGGTGGCCAACTACAAGAAACGTCTGACTTCTGTGATTGCCAACAAGGGTTTTGCCACCAAGTACTAAGTCATGTTTTGCAGAGGGGTCAAATACTTATTTCCCTCATTAAAATGCAAATCAATTTATAACATTTTTGACATGCGTTTTTCTGGATTTTTTTGTTTTTATTCTGTCTCTCACTGTTCAAATAAACCTACCATTAAAATTATAGACTGATCATGTCTTTGTCAGTGGGCAAACGTACAAAATCAGCAGGGGCTCAAATACTTTTTTCCCTCACTGTAAGTATTTAACCGCTTTGTTATGGCAAGCCTAAATAAGTTCAGGAGTAAAGATTTGCTTAACAAGTCACATAATAAGTTGCATGGACTTACTCTGTGTGCAACAATAGTGTTTAACATGATTTTGTAATGACTGACTCATCTCTGTACCCCACACATACAATTATCTGTAAGGTCCCTCAGTCGAGCAGTGAATTTCAAACACAGATTCAACCACAAAGACCAGGGAGGTTTTCCTTTGCCTCGCAAAGAAGTGCACCTACTGGTAGATGGGTAAAAAAAAAACAGACATTGAATATTCCTTTCAGCATGGTAAAGTTCTTAAGTACACTTTGGATGGTGTATTAATACTCCCAGTCACTACAAAGATACAGGTCTCCTTCCTAACTCAGTTGCCGGAGAGGAAGGAAACCGCTCAGAGATTTCACCATGAGGCCAATGGTGACTTTAAAACAGTTACAGAGTTGAATGGCTGTGATGGGAGAAAACTGAGGATAGATCAACAACATTATAGTTACTCCACAATACTAACCTAATTGACAGAGTGAAAAGAAAGAAGCCTGTACAGAATACAAATATTCCAAAACATGCATCCTGTTTGCAACAAGTCACTAAAGTAATACTGCAAAAAAATTTGCAAAGCAATTAACTTTTTGTCCTGAATACAAAGTGTTATGTTTGGGGCAAATCCAATACAACACATTACTGAGTACCACTCTCCATATTTTCAAGCATATTGGTGGCTGCATCATGTTATGGGTATGCTTGTAATCATTAAGGACTGGTGAGTTTTTCAGGATAAAAAAGAAATGGAATGGAACTAAGCACAGGCAAAATCCTAGAGGAAAACCTGGTTCAGTCTGCTTTCCACCAGACACTGGGAGATGAATTTACCTTTCAGCAAGACAATAACCTAAAACACAAGGCCAAATCTACATTGGAGTTGCTTACCAAGAAGACAGTGAATGTGGCCGAGTTGCAGTTTTTACTTAAATCTACTTAAAAATCTATGGCAAGACCTGAAAATGGTTGTCTAGCAATGATCAACAACCAATTTGAGCTTGAAACATTTTGAAAAGAATAATGGGCAAATGTTGCACAATCCAGGTGTGGAAAGCTCTTAGAGACTTACCCTAAAATACTATAAGCTGTAATCGCTGCCAAAGGTGCGTCTACAATTTATTGTAAATTAGATTTTTCTGTATTTCCTTTTCAATCAATTTGCAAAAATGTATAAAACCATGTTTTCACTTTGTCATTATGGGTTATTGTGTGTAGATGGGTGATAAAAAATATATGTAATACATTTTGAATTCAGGCTGTAACAACAAAATGTGGAATAAATCAAGGGGCCTTTCTGAAGGCACTGTATTAGAGTGAGCATGTGTGACAATCAAGAATATAAATACATGGTGTGTATAGACAGTATATAATTTGGAAAGAAAATGGTACACTAAATGGCTAAAAGTGGCTGTTCCTTAATGATCTTTTTGGCCTTCCTTTGACACTGTGTTCTGTAAATATCCTGGAGGACAGACAGTGTGCCTGTGGGGATGTGTTGGGCTGACCACACCACCCTCTGGAGGGCCATGCGTTTGAGGCAGGTGCAGTTGCCGTACCAGGCGGTGATGCAGCCCGACAGAATGCTCTCAATGGTGCATCTGTTGGAGTTTGTCAAGGTCTTACGGGCCATGCCGAATTTCTTCAGCCGCCTGAGGTTGAAGAGGCGCTGTTGTGCCTTCTTCACCACAGTGTCGGTATGATGGGACCATTTCAGGTCCTCAGTGATGTGCACGCCAAGGAACATTAAGCTTTTGACCCTCTCCACTGTGGACCTGTATACAGTGGGGAGAACAAGTATTTGATACACTGCCGATTTTGCAGGTTTTCCTACTTACAAAGCATGTAGAGGTCTGTAATTTTTATCATAGGTACACTTCAACTGTGAGAGACGGAATCTAAAACAAAAATCCAGAAAATCACATTGTATGATTTTGTATTATTAATTTGAATTTTATTGCATGACATAAGTATTTGATACATCAGAAAAGCAGAACTTAATATTCGGTACAGAAACCTTTGTTTGCAATTACAGAGATCATATGTTTCCTGTAGGTCTTGACCAGGTTTGCACACACTACAGCAGGGATTTTGGCCCACTCCTCCATACAGACCTTCTCCAGATCCTTCAGGTTTCGGGGCTGTCGCTGGGCAATACGGACTTTCAGCTCCCTCCAAAGATTTTCTATTGGGTTCAGGTCTGGAGACTGGCTAGGCCACTCTAGGACCTTGAGATGCTTCTTACGGAGCCACTCCTTAGTTGCCCTGGCTGTGTGTTTTCGGGTCGTTGTCATGCTGGAAGACCCAGCCACGACCCATCTTCAATGCTCTTACTGAGGGAAGGAGGTTGTTGGCCAAGATCTCGCGATACATGGCCCCATCCATCCTCCCCTCAATATGGTGCAGTCGTCTTGTCCCCTTTGCAGAAAAGCATCCCCAAAGAATGATGTTTCCACCTCCATGCTTCACGGTTGGGATGGTGTTCTTGGGGTTGTACTCATCCTTCTTCCTCCAAACACGGGGAGTGGAGTTGATTTTTGTCTCATCAGACCACATGTCCTTCTCCCATTCCTCCTCTGGATCATCCAGATGGTCATTGGCAAACTTCAGACGGGCCTGGACATGCGCTGGCTTGAGCAGGGGGACCTTGCGTGCGCTGCAGGATTTAAATCCATGACGGCGTAGTGTGTTACTAATGGTTTTCTTTGAGACTGTGGTCCCAGCTCTCTTCAGGTCATTGACCAGGTCCTGCCGTGTAGTTCTGGGCTGATCCCCACCTTCCTCATGATCATTGATGCCCCATGAGGTGAGATCTTGCATGGAGCCCAAGACCGAGGGTGATTGACCATCATCTTGAACTTCTTCCATTTTCTAATAATTGCGCCAACAGTTGTTGCCTTCTCACCAAGCTGCTTGCCTATTGTCCTGTAGCCCATCCCAGCCTTGTGCAGGTCTACAATTGTAACCCTGATGTCCTTACACAGCTCTCTGGTCTTGGACATTGTGGAGAGGTTGGAGTCTGTTTGATTGAGTGTGTGGACAGGTGTCTTTAATACAGGTAACAAGTTCAAACAGGTGCAGTTAATACAGGTAATGAGTGGAGAACAGGAGGGCTTCTTAAAGAAAAACTAACAGGTCTGTGAGAGCCGGAATTCTTACTGGTTGGTAGGTGATCAAATACTTATGTCAAGCAATAAAATGCAAATTAATTACTTAAAAATCATACAATGTGATTTTCTGGATTTTTGTTTTAGATTCCGTCTCTCACAGTTGAAGTGTACCTATGATAAAAATGACAGACCTCTACATGCTTTGTAAGTAGGAAAACCTGCGAAATCGGCAGTGTATCAAATACTTGTTCTCCCCAGTGTATGTGGATGGGGGCGTGCTCCCTCTTCCGTCTCCTGTAGTCCACGATCAGCTCCTTTGTTTTGACGTTGTGGGAGAGGCTATTTTCTGCCAGGGCTCTAACCTCCTCCCTGTAGGCTGTCTCGTCATTGGTAATCAGGCCTACCACTATCATGTCGTCAGCAAACTTGATGATTGAGTTTGAGATTGTGCATAGCTACGCAGTCGTGGGTGAACAGGGAGTACAGGAGGGGGATGAGCACACAACCCTGTGGGGCTCCTGTGTTGAGGATCAGCGTGGCGGAGGTGGTGCCTACCCTCACCACCTGGGATCAGTCCGTCAGGAAGTCTAGGACCCAGTTGCACATGGAGGGGTTCAGACCCAGGGCCCTGAGCTTAGTGACGAGCTTGGAGGGCACTATAGTATTGAAAGCAGAACTGTACTCGATGAACACCATTCTGACATAGGTATTCCTCTTGTCCAGGTGGCATATGTGTGTGTGTATGCATGCGTGTGTGACGTGTGTGGCTTGTACTACATGCGTGTGCGTGCTCTGGGACAGGCGTAATGGGAAGACAAGTCTGCAGGCTATTACTCTCCCTCTCTCTTTGTCCTCCTGTCTGTCTGTCAAGAGCCCCAGAACCTGTGTGTGTATTCTGTACTGTATGTACTGTATGTGTGAGTGAGTATGCCTGTGTGTGTGTCATCCTGTTCAGGATATGCAGCTGAACAGCCTCAGTGTGATTGATGAGGAAGCAGGGAGGAATAACAGCAACAAGAAGGGAGTGAGGAAGAGGTGGCTGAATGGATGTGTCAACACACCTGTCTGTCTGTCTGTGAGGATGGGTCCTGACCTGGGGCGGGCACACACACATGCAGGCAGACACTCACACACACACCCCATCCCACACACACACACACCACACCCCACACACACAAACACACAAACTCACTACTAATGATGTTGCATTATATAACCACACAGTGCATGAGGGGAGGGTAGGGCTGGTTGTGGGAGGCTTAGAGAGGAAGGGGGGGTAGGGAGGAGAGGGGGAGGCCGCTTAGAGACACTGAAGGAGGTGGAGGGGGGGGAAAGGAGAAGGGGAAGGAACTGGAGAGGAGTGATTGATGGGACAGCTAAACATTCCTCCTTGGATGGCTATGCAAACACGCTGCGGTTGTTACTCAGTGCCAGATCAGGTACAGCTAGGCTAGTCATTGTTATGTACGTACAGGTACGGGCTAGCACAGGTAGGCCATCCATCACACAGAAATCACACCCGACACACACAGGTAGGCCATCAATCATGCAGGCATCACATCTGACACACATCTGTCAGATGGATGGATGCTGGGTTGGGAGGAGGGGGGGGTCACGCCTTGTAGAGGTGAATCTTTCTCAGCTTCACATCTGACTCACAGTCATCCAGGAGAAGATGCTTAGTCAAGGTAAGAATGTTGACAGTCAGTGTCTATCCATCTATCCATCTACCTGGGCCTGAGTGATGGGGCTAGCTATATTTGGGTGCTTTTGTTTTGTGTGTGGAAAATCTGAAGTGAAAAAGCATGCAACATAGTTGTCTGAGTGTGTGTGTGTGTGTGTGTGTGTTTGTGTGTGTAACTTACTAGACCAGCGGACAGACCGGTGAGACTGAGCAGCTTCTTGTACTGTTCAAAGGTGAAGAACTATGGAGAGAAGAGATGAAGAGAAATGAGGTGTCAAAGCCAGGAGGAGGAAGTTACAGACAGACTCATTGCATAGACACACACACAGTCACACAATGGTGGGAAAACTTGCACTTACATGTATGCCCACTAATGACTGTATGATGCACACATACATTGCCTTCAGAAAGTATCCATACCCCTTGACTTATTCCACATTGTGTTGTGTTACAGCCTGAATTCAAAATGGATTATATACCACATCCAACCCCATAATGACAAAGTGAGAACACATTTTTAGAAATGTTTGCAAATGTATTGAAAAAGAAATACAGTATCTAATTTACATAAGTATTCACACCCCTGAGTCAATACTTTGTAGAAGCACCTTTGGCAGCGATTACAGCTGTGAGTCTAAGAACTTTCCACACCAGGATTGTGCAACATTTACCCATTATTCTTCTCAAAATGATCAACAAATTGGCTGTTCATCATTGCTAGACAACCATTTTCAGGTCTTCCCATAGATTTTCAAGTAAATTTAAGTCAAAACTGTTACTCGGCCACTGTCTTCTTGGTAAGCAACTCCAGTATAGATTTGGCCTTGTGTTTTAGGCTATTGTCCTGCTGAAAGGTGAATTAATCTTCTAGTGTCTGGTGGAAAGCATACTGAAACAGGTTTTCCTCTAGGATTGCCCGTGCTTAGCTCCATTCCGTTTCTTTTTTATCCTGAAAAACTCCCCAGTCCTTAACGATTACAAGCACACCCATAACATGATGCTGCCACCACTATGCTTGAAAATATGGAGAGTGGTACTCAGTAATGTGTCGTATTGGATTTGCCCCAAACATAAAACTTGGTATTCAGGACCAAAAGTGAATTGCTTTGCCAAATCTTTTGCAATATTACTTTAGTGCCTTGTTGCAAACATGATGCATGTTCTGGAATATTTTTTCTTGTGTACAGGCTTCCTTCTTTTCACTCTGTCAATTAGGTTGTTGTTCATCCATCCTCAGTTTTCTCCTATCACAGCCATTCAACTCTGTAACTGTTTTAAAGTCACCATTGGCCTCATAGTGAAATCCCTGAGGGGTTTCCTTCTTATCCGGCAACTCAGTTAGGAAGGACACCTGTATCTTTATAGTGACTGGGTGTATTGATACACCATCCAAAGTGTAATTAATAACTTCACCATGCTCAAAGGGATATTCAATGTGTGCTTATTTTATTTTTACCCATCTACCAATAGGTGCCCTTCTTTGCAAGGCATTGGAAAACCTCGCTGGTCTTTGTGGTTGAATCTGTGTTTGAAATTGAATCTGTGTTTGAAATTCACTGCTCGACTGAGGGACCTTACAGATAATTGTATGTGTTTGGTACAGAGATGAGGTAGTCATTCAAACATCATGCTAAACACTATTACTGCACACAGAGTGAGTCCATGCAACTTTTTATGTGACTTTCTCTATGTTTAGACCAAAGGACAGTGATTTGTGGGTTGTGATGCTCAAGGACTTATGTAACCGCTGTGAAATGGCTAGCTAGTTAGCGGTGCGCGCTAGTAGCGTTTCAATCGGTGACGTCACTCGCTCTGAGACCTGAAGCAGTTGTTGCCCTTGCTCTACAAGGGTCGCTGCTTTTGTGAAGCGACGGGTAACGGTGCTTCGAGGGTGACTGTTGTCGCTGTGTGCAGAGGGTCCCTGGTTCAAGCCCAGGTAGTTGGTGTGTGTGTGTGTGTGTGTGTGTGTCTCTCTATGTGTCTGTTCCATCACCACCACACTCTACTATTCCCAGAGGCAAACGCAGCAGCAGATATCAGAAGTAGTGACCCAGAGGAGGTTGTTTGTGGTGTGATCCCTGGATGTCAGCAGTAGCGAGCACGCTTGGGAAGGTTTTCATACAGTAGAAGTGCAGAACTCCAGCCGGGGCGTGTTCAGCATGAAATGGAAGAAAATGCTCGGAAACAGAGGAGGAGCTATTTGAACTTGTCCAATAAGAAAACATTTTTGCTACGATGTGCCCTAACGAACACAACCTGTTGGGTTGTCACACAGGCGATTCACTCACAGCTCTAGTGGGGATGTGTTACATTGTCTTACGACAGATAGCATGAGGATTCCACCTGCACTGAGGGACGAGCATTGCGTAAGAGTGACGCCACCTGACGCGTTGACCATGCATGTGGTGAATAGCGTAGCACTTCCTGTGCCTTACCTTAACTGCTCTCTTTGGGGTCTCAGCTAGGATTGGCGGGAGGATCCCCTTATAGAAGCCATATATACTGTAGAGAGAAAAATATACTGAGCATTAGACATGACACGACACAACTCAACATCTCGTCTCCAAACTGTGCTTACTTTACCCTGCTGTCAATCATGCCTTTGTACTGTATATGGGAAACCTTCTCTTGTATGAGTCATTCCACCTAAAAGGCACAAGAAAGAGTATTGACACCCACCATCTCAGATTGTTCTGAAATCGATTCTGTCGTTAGAAACAGATAAGAGTAGCATTCCTGAAACATTATTTTGTTGAAATATAATTAGAGCTCTGAAAAATTAAGCTAATTGAATGCACCCAAATTGGCTATTTTAATTTATAGGATTCGTAAAATCTTCAATAAATATAGTATTTAACATCGATTTGGACCATAATTCTTCCTAATAATGAGTAAGACATGAGGAATCCGATAAAATGATCAAAAGCCACCCATGGACCCCCCACCCCAACAACCTGTATACAGTATCAGTTCTCTATGTCTGACAAGTAGTACGGAGCTACTGCTTGGAGTATTGCTTCTTCATCCTTTGTATTGTATTCCCTGTGAATCCCGTTCAGAGAAATTTGCCATTGAAGTTGCTAGCATTATTTACCATAAATTAGTGTTAAAGTACCACGTTTTGCCCACTAGATGCCACTGTTCCTGCTACTGCAACCACACCCTTTTATCCATTTTGCTGGTCTCTTGTGTTTATTAAATGGATCACAACATTTTCTTAGCAACTTTGGGTTGAAAACCAACAGCCTTTGCTCATGATGAAAATAAATTGTATGGTCATCCTCAAAATTCAAGTCAGTCTTCCATGAAAGCAATTCAGTTTGTCCTTCTCGGCTTAATTTGTGTCCAGGAAACGGCCCCTCTGTGTGTGGTTTATTCCCTTCAAAAAAAGGTCTGGATTAGTAAAACCATTCCTGTCTACCAGGCAAACCATTAGGCTACAGCAGTTCTAATGGTTTCAATGTTATGGGATCTAATGGTCTTCAATGGTTAAAGTCCCAAACACCCACTGTGTAGTGTTTTGCAGTGGTAATGGTATTGAGTTGCGTTTAATGGTAAATGTCACTAATCACACTACATATATAGATGTTTTCTAATACTTTTATTTAAAAACATACGACTTCCATACCATGGTTTATAATTGTATTATTTTATTAGGGCTGTCACAACATTTCTGTCACTAGCCCATTTCTCCATCAATGTTTTGGGCTTGTAGGAAAAGTCTTCATATGAGAATTGCACCATAGCCCTCAGAGAGCTGCCATTTGTTGGACTATTCAAGGAGAGTTGGGCTGAAGCATTAGGGTTACTAAGAGAAGGACAAACTGCATTGCTTTCATGTAGGACTGGCTTAACTCTGGAAAAAGTACTCAATTGACATACTTGAGTAAAAGTAAAGATACCTTAATAGAAAATGACTCAAGTAAAAGTGAAAGTCACCCAGTAAAATACTACTTGAGTAAAAGTCTAAAAGTATCTGGTTTTAAATGTACTTAAGTACAGTGGTGGAAAAAGTACTAAATTCTCATACTTGAGCAAAAGTAAAAAGTAAAAGTAAATGCTATACTTCAAATTCCTTATATTATGCAAACCATATGGGAAAAAAACATCACCACATTCAAAGGGGAATACATTACAAGGAATGAAGAAGCAACACTCCAAGCCCCAGCTCCATACTACTTGTCAGACATCGAGAACTGATATTGTATACTGGTTGTTGGAGTGAGATTGGCATGGGGTGTCCATGGGTGGCTTTTGACCATTTTATTGGATTCCTCATGTCTTACTAAATGGTAGAAAGAAGTAATCCAAATCAGATGTTGGGTACTATATTTATTGAATATTATGTGAATCCTATAAATTAAAATGGCTAATTTGGGTGCAATCAATTAGCTTAATTTCTCAGAGATCAAATTAAATTTCAACATAATAATGTTTAAGGAATGCTAATCTTATCTGTTTCTACCTACATAAACGATTTCAGAACAATCTGAGATAGTGGGTGTCATGGCTTGCTAAAATGACATGGAATGACTCGTATGTTATCTATTTACATTTACATTTAAGTCATTTAGCAGACGCTCTTATCCAGAGCGACTTACAAATTGGATTTCTGCAAAGAAAGCACAAAAAGTGTTGTATACACATTTCAGAAGTGTATGCATTAGCAGTTCCTCTACACCTCTCCTTATGTGACAACATACACAGAACAAACTCAGCAAAAAAGAAACGTCCTCTCACTGTCAACTGCGTTTATTTTCAGCAAACTTAACATGTGTAAATATTTGTATGAACATAACAAGATTCAACAAATGAGACATAAACTGAACAAGGTCCACAGACATGTGACTAACAGAAATTGAATAATGTGTCCCTGAACAAAGGGGGGGTCAAAATAAAAAAATAACGGTCAGTATCAGGTGTGGCCACCAGCTGCATTAAGTACTGCAGTGCATCTCCTCATCATGGACTGCACCAGATTTGCCAGTTCTTGCTGTGAGATGTTACCCTACTCTTCCACCAAGGCACCTGCAAGTTCCCGGACATTTCTGGGGGGGAATGGCCCTAGCCCTCACCCTCCGATCCAACAGGTCCCAGACGTGCTCAATGGGATTGAGATCCGGGTTCTTTGCTAGCCATGGCAGAACACTGACATTCCTGTCTTGCAGGAAATCACGCACAGAACGAGCAGTATGGCTGGTGGCATTGTCATGCTGGAGGGTCATGTCAAGATGAGCCTGCAGGAAGGGTACCACATGAGGGAGGAGGATGTCTTCCCTGTAACGCACAGCGTTGAGATTGCCTGCAATGACAACAAGCTCAGTCCGATGATGCTGTGACACACCACCCCAGACCATGATGGACCCTCCACCTCCAAATAGATCCCACTCCAGAGTACAGGCCTCGGTGTAACGCTCATTCCTTCGACGATAAACGCGAATCCGACCATCACCCCTGGTGAGACAAAACCGCGACTCGTCAGTGAAGAGCACTTTTTGCCAGTCCTGTCTGGTCCAGCGACGGTGGGTTTGTGCCCATAGGCGACGTTGTTGCCGGTGATGTCTAGTGAGGACCTGCCTTACAACAGGACTACAAGCCCTCAGTCCAGCCTCTCTCAGCCTATTGCGGACAGTCTGAGCACTAATGGAGGGATTGTGCGTTCCTGGTGTAACTCGGGCAGTTGTTGTTGCCATTCTGTACCTGTCCCGCAGGTGTGATGTTCGGATATACCGATCCTGTGCAGGTGTTGTTACACGTGGTCTGCCACTGCGAGGACGATCAGCTGTCCGTCCTGTCTCCCTGTAGCGCTGTCTTAGGCGTCTCACAGTACGGACATTGCAATTTATTGCCCTGGCCACATCTGCAGTCCTCATGCGTCGTTGCAGCATGCCTAAGGCACGTTCACGCAGATGAGCAGGGACCCTGGGCATCTTTCTTTTGGTGTTTTTCAGAGTCAGTAGAAAGGCCTCTTTAGTGTCCTAAGTTTTCATAACTGTGACCTTAATTGCCTACCGTCTGTAAGCTGTTAGTGTCTTACTGACCGTTCCACAGGTGCATGTTCATTAATTGTTTATGGTTCATTGAACAAGCATGGGAAATAGTGTTTAAACCCTTTACAATGAAGATCTGTGAAGTTTGTTTAGATTTTTACAAATTATCTTTGAAAGACAGGGTCCTGAAAAAGGGACATTTCTTTTTCTGCTGAGTTCATATCACATCCTGAATGTATATCACATCCTGAACGTATATCACATCCTTTTATGTCACTGGTTCAGACCTGGGTTAAAATACTATTCGAAATCATTTCTAAAACCGTCTGTGCTTGATTAAGCTTGGCTAACGCAATAGAACCAATAGAAAACCACTACCCACCTGGCATTCCAAAGCAAACACTCAAAGTATTTGAAAGATTTCAAACAGTATTTGAACCCAGGTCTGTATTGGTTACTCTGTAGGTAACACTGTATAAACCTCCACAAGCACCCCACTGGCCTTCCCTTTCACTCCAAATTGTTGTTTTAAGGACTGACTGCCTCAAACAAACCAAAACAGGTAGAACAGGTCTAAATCTTTAAACCTAAGTACAACAGTAAACATGGTCCCTACCTGCTTGCATTTAGGGGACAGGCTTAGATTATTCCAAGAGAACTCTGGTATCTAGTTGAATATTTAATACTTATTGATGCTATGGTGCACCATGTAAAACTGCTGTTAAGAACTGTGGTGAGAAAGACTTCCAATGGGCAAATAAACTTAGAAAGAAAACAAGTAGGCAGCCAGTACACGTTTTCTTTCTGGGATTACATTTTACATTTACATTTTCGTCATTTAGCAGACGCTCTTATCTAGAGAGTGAGTGCATACATTATTTTTTTTATATTTTCATACTGGCCCCCCGTGGGAATCGAACCCACAACCCTGGCATTGCAAACGTCATGCTCTACCAACTGAGCTACATCCCTGCCGGCCATTCCCTCCCCTACCCTGGACCAATTGTGCGCCGCCCCATGAGTCTCCCGGTTGCGGCCGTCTACGACAAAGCCTGGATTCGAACCAGGTTCTAGTGGCACAGCTAGCACTGCGATGCAGTGCCTTAGACCACTGCACCACTTGGGAGGTTACCTACCATAGTAGACCAAGTGGCAGCGGACAAAATCAGAAGATTTTGGATGGATTTAGAATATTTTATTTTAAAGTGGAACTAACAGCTTTTTAACTACTTTGCAGATATGAAACAGACAATCATAATATCAGTCAAACATATCAAATTCCCAGTTTATGCTTAAAAAACAACTTTATAAGAGGTTTTAAAAATAGGTTCTATTTGACTCAAAATTCCATGACGTACAGTAAGGCATTATCGGCAGAATAGATGGATGCGGTTAAATGCATGATTAATATAATTCACCAATACATTTCTTGGTAGTCCCAAAGATATTGCTATCAGGTTGTAAATCACAACTGGCCTGGTACATTTTTTGCTGACTCCACCCATTCGGGACTGCACTGTTTCAGTTTGACTCAATATTATGAACAAAAACGGACGACTGTAACTAAGGCTGGGAATGTAAATACAATCAAACAAAATGCAATCAAATGATCACAAGTCAGTCATAACATGGCTAATAGGCTAGTGCACGTGTCAAACACAAGGCCCAATCAATAACCAAAAAACTAAACCTGCAACAAAACACCATGCAAAGGAGAAACATGTAGGCCTATTACAGCAACATTTGAGCAGTAGCCTAGGCTGGCTACTCAACTACAATACATTTTGAGTGCACCATACAGCTAGCTAGCTAGCTAGCTTATGGGAGGATGTCATGTCATTGGAGGAGTGAGTGACCAACTTTTCGTATTTGCAGAAATCCATTCAGGTATATTTTGTGGCTTTTGGCGAATGCGTTCTAATGATCTAAAGTCACGCTGTTGCTACAGCCTGTAATCACAGTCCAGTTCAAAGTGAATGATGGCAGGCCGGTGTGGCAAATTGATAATTTGCATATAGGCCTACTGTAGCTCTGATTGGCTATGGCGCACCGGTCTGTGTAGACACCGGTCCTGGACAAGACAGATGTTTTTATTAGGTTTTATTTACTGCAGTGTCTATTAATTTTCCAAACGCAAGGCCGCTTTCCCACTCTATATTTCTATAGAATTTTCACAAATGCCTTACTATACTTAATTCTATTAATTTATGATAACGTGAAAATGACCATATCGAAGCACTCGCTTGTCAGAAAATGTAAAAGTATGTGTCATATTCTGTCTGGGGGTGTATATGAACAGATTTCAATAAGATATAATGTTGCTAAAACGCTGTCAGTTCCACTTTAAGGGAAAACGCTTCATGTTTATTTGGAATATTCCGATATTTTGAACCAAATGATATGGACCTCGATTAGCTTATTTTTCTTGGAAGATTTTTTATTCATAAGATTAAATGGGCGGAGAAGAAACTGAAACATGTTGGTTGAAATCATCAGTAAATATGAAAAAACTAAAAAGCAGTATAGGTACCAAAATACAGTACTTGTTGACAAATGTACATTTTCTTTTGAAGTTCATGTACTCGTCTGTACATTTCCCTTTATTGTATTGTGTGTTATTGTTCAATAAAACAAACAAAAAAAATAACATTTTCTCAAATCAACCTTAAAGGGGCAATCTGGAATTGCTACATCCATTTTGTTTAACTTATACATTAATTATATATACCCATTGATTATTGAAGAATATACCTTATAAATGACTCATGAGCTTAGTTCAACTGTCACATCAGAACCCAAAATATAAGCTTGTTTTACTCCAATGTTTATAAACATTGTAAATGTAAACAAACATTGTATAGCCTCAAAACATGGTTAAAACTAATGTTGATGGTCAGTCCTTGCATCCATAGCTCTGTCTATGAATTTTAGAGTGGTTACATTTCTCCAGGCCCATCCCTCAGCTTTTCACCAAAACAGAGGCGGGTAACAGTTTGTTATTGTTTCAACTGCGGATTGGCCTTTTAAGTGATATACAGTATTATTGTACTCTTTAGGGATAACAATACATAGACAGAGTTGCTTTCCTAAAATGATAAGTGCTGGTTTAGGTTAGCTAAAAGTGACCTCAGTCAGTTGTCTGATAAGCAAATAAACTGTGCGATCTAGCTACATAACGTGAACTTGACACCAGTCTTTGTCACAATGCTGCACTGGAAGCCAATCTTACCTATGTAATTGCTGGGATGATAACCCTCTTCATTCAAACAGATGCTCTACTCAGACTCACTATTGTAACATTAATCCTATCTGAGGTTTGCAGTGAAATGTGTTTCTTGGAATGGAAATTAAAGTTCCACAGAAGATATAAAGTTCTGGAATCCTTTTATGACAGTCAGCCACATTTGCACGTCTGATTACTTGAAATTGATAAACCATGTGCACATTTGCATTGCTAAATGACGCTCATCGTCTTTGAATAGCTCTAGGCATGTATGATCATTTTGAATTAGATAGTAGTTGGTGTGAAACCTGCATAAACAAGTAGAGGAAGTGCAGTTACTACCACCTGTAACAACCCTGATGTTATGACCTCTATGATACTGCCTGATTACTAGGCTGGATAGTCTTTAATGAAACCTCAGGTGTTGATGGAATAGAGTGTTTTTTTCATTTGAATGTGTGTGTTTTCAGAATGAGCTGTGGTTCAGTGAGGTAGACAACGTAGACTGCCCTGTTCTGCTCTCAGGTACGATCACCAGCTAAATCTCTAGATTCTGAAACCATAATATTGACACCTGTAGCCAATCAGCCGATAACATCTCTGTGTGTTGTCTTCAGAGGCGTGTTTCCACAATAGAAAAGTAGGGGTTCCTATACCAGCAGTCATGCTAGCTACCCTGTCCTGTCCTCCCTGTCCACATGTGTTCTATATCAATACACCCTACACTCTAAGACACACACATTATGTAGTCTCTCTCTCTCTGGGTTGTTTTGCAACACTTAAAGCCGACAGGTATAATGCTTAATAACTTTGTAACTGATCAAAATGGCAGTTATTTAGTCAGGATCATTATGAGATGACAATACGACATTACAAGGGGGGTGAACATGCTCATGAGAAGTCTCACAAAGCCTTGTAAGCCCATAATAATGGGTTACACTTGTCATCCGTAGTAAAATGTTACCAATTGTTTCACATAGACAGAAGGACGGAAGACCCTGGTCTGTGTCTTGTTTGTCCATGCAAATGTCAACCACAGATTTCCCGGGTGTGGTCAGTCTACATAGCCACCAGGTGAGAAAGGAGGACTGACATTTGTTACAGACAAACTCAGAGCCCATGTGACCGAGGTTCATTTGAATCCTGATTTGATTTTAAATGTAAAGTACACACTAAGTCCCTTTTTGGCTTTCCTAAACAAATTTCCTCCCGTGGCTTACTGAGGCGACTGTGGGCCCAGCTGGACAGTGTGTGTGTGTGTGTGTGTGTGTGTGTATGACAGAGAGCATACATAGTCAGTGATTTGTCTTAGATTTTCATCAAACTTAACCTTCCTAACTCATAGCATCGATCGGTTTTAAATGCTCAAAATCATGAAATCAAATTGATTTATAAAGCCTTTTTTACATCAGCAGATGCCAAAGTGCTATAAAGAAACCCAGTCTAAAACCCCAAACAGCAAGCAATGCAGATGTAGAAGCACGGTTAATGACAGCACAAAGCGAGAAACAAGCAGTTAGTCAAATCAGGTAATGGAGCTATAAGATGACAGCCAAGAAGAGATGAACAAGATAAGACTGCTTTTACATTCAATTGAAATGTGTTAATCTGCGCCCTCCATTTGGCAAATCTGACCATAACTCTATCCTCCTGATTCCTGCTTATAAGCAAAAACTAAAGCAGGAAGCACCAGTGACTCGGTTAATAAAAATGTGGTCAGATGACGCAGATGCTAAGCTACAGGACTGTTTTGCTAGCACAGACTGGAACATGTTCCGGAATTCTTCAGATAGCATTGAGGAGTACACCACATCAGTCACTGGCTTCATCAATAAGTGCATCGATGATGTCGTCCCCACAGTGACCGTACGTACATACCCCAACCAGAAGCCATGGATTACAGGAAACATCCGCACTGAGCTAAAGGGTAGAGCTGCCGCTTTCAAGGAGCGGGACTCTAACCCGGATGTTTATAAGAAATCCCGCTATGCCCTCCGACGAACCATCAAACAGGAAAAGAGTCAATACAGGACTAAGATTGAATCGTACTACACCGGCTCTGACGCTCGTCGGATGTGACAGGGCTTGAAAACTATTACAGACTACAAAGGGAAGCACAGCCGCGAGCTGCCCAGTGACACAAGACTTCCAGACGAGCTAAACCACTTCTATGCTCGCTTCGAGGCAAGTAACACTGAAGCATGCATGAGAGCACCAGATGTTCCGGATGACTATGTGATCACGCTCTCCGTAGCCGATGTGAGTAAGACTTTTAAGCAGGTCACAAGGCCGCAGGGCCAGACGGATTACCAGGACGTGTACTCCGAGCATGTGCTGACCAACTGGCAAGTGTCTTCACTGACATTTTCAACATGTCCCTGACTGAGTCTGTAATACCAACATGTTTCAAGCAGACCACCATAGTCCCCATGCCCAAGGACACTAAGATAACCTGCCTAAATGACTACCGACCCGTAGCACTGACGTCTGTAGCCATGAAGTGCTTTGAAAGGCTGGTCATGGCTCACATCAACACCATTATCCCAGAAACCCTAGACCCACTCCAATTTGCATACCGCCCCAACAGATCCACAGATGATGCAATCTCTATTGCACTCCACACTGCCCTTTCCCACCTGGACAAGAGGAACACCTACGTGAGAATGCTATTCATTGACTACAGCTCAGCATTCAACACCATAGTGCCCTCTAAGCTAAGGATCCTGGGACTAAACACCTCCCTCTGCAACTGGATCCTGGACTTCCTGACGGGCCGCCCCCAGGTGGTAAGGGTGGGTAACAACACATCTGCCACACTGATCCTCAACACGGGGGCCCCTCAGGGGTGCGTGCTCAGTCCCCTCCTGTACTCCCTGTTCACCCATGACTGCATGGCCAGGCACGACTCCAACACCATTATTAAGTTTGCCGACGACACAACAGTGGTATGCCTGATCACCGACAACGATGAGACAGCCTATAGGGAGGAGGTCAGAGACCTGGCCGTGTGGTGCCAGGATAACAACCTCTCCCTCAACGTGACCAAGACAAAGGAGATGATTGTGGCCTACAGGAAAAAAAAGAGGACTGAGCACGCCCCCATTCTCATCGACGGGGCTGTGGTGGAACAGGTTGAGAGCTTCAAGTTCCTTGGTGTCCACATCACCAATGAACTATCATGGTCCAAACACAACAAAGACAGTCGTGAAGAGGGCACGACAAAGCCTATTCCCCCTCAGGAGACTGAAAAGATTTGGCATGGGTCCTCAGATCCTCAAAATTCTACAGCTGCACCATCGAGAGCATCCTGACTGGTTGCATCACCACCTGGTATGGCAACTGCTTGGCCTCCGACCGCAAGGCACTACAGAGGGTAGTGCGTACGGCCCAGTACATCACTGGGGCCAAGCTTCCTGCCATCCAGGACCTCTATACCAGGCGGTGTCAGAGGAAGGCCCTCAAAATTGTCAAAGACTCCAGCCACCCTAGTCATAGACTGTTCTCTCTGCTACCGCACGGCAAGCGGTACCGGAGTGCCATGTCTAGGTCCAAAAGACTTCTCAACAGCTTCTACCCCCAAGACTCCTGAACAGCTAATCATGGCTACCCAGACTATTTGCACTGCCCCCCCACCCCATCTTTTTACGCTGCTGCTACTCTGTTAATTATTTATGCATAGTCACTTTAACTCTACCCACATGTACATATTACTTCAACTACCTCAACTAGCCGGTGCCCCCGCACATTGACTCTGCACCGGTACCCCCCTGTATATATAGCCTCCCTACTGTTATATTATTTTACTTCTGCTCTTTTTTTCTCAACACTTTTTGTTGTTGTTTTATTTTACTTTTTTATTAAAAATAAATGCACTGTTGGTTAAGGGCTGTAAGTAAGCATTTCACTGTAATGTCTGCACCTGTTGTATTCGGTGTATGTGGCCAATAAAATTTTATTTTATTTTATTTGAAATCTGGTTGACAACAACCAGTATTTGTGGTTGAGAAAACCTTGAATAATGTGTTGAATAGGCTAATGTTGCTCTGGTTCGGTCTCACACCTGCTGTACCATGAGAAATGTTACGGGTCACAAGGAGGAAATTCTCTCCCTCTTCAACAACCAGTAAACAACCTGCATGCTTCATCTGCAAATATTGCTGTTTCCCCAGTGACTGTTTTAACCTTGACATTGCCAGAGACAGAAACTCAAGGGAGCTCAAATAGGACTCAAGGCACACCGGTCAGGTTTCATCACAAAAACACTGTATTCTTCTAGAGGTCATCAACAGCTAATCAGATACAGCCAATAAACCCACCAACTGTTCATTTGAAACTACTGAATTGCATAGACCTGGGTTCAAATAGTATCTGAAATCTTTCAAATACTTTGAGTGTTTGTTTGAGCCTGCCTGGAGTGCCCCGATGTGTGCGGTTTCCATGATTTGGGAATATTTTTGGGGGTTGTTTGCGCCAGGCAAGCTCAAACAAGCCCAGCTAAAGTAAATGAAGAAGAGGAGGAAGTAGAACAGAGCAACAGGAAGGTGATTTGGTACTGCCAGGCAACCTGAGGGGAGTGAGTAGGATATCAGGGCTTCTGGAGGTGGTTAACCCACAGGACTTTAAAAGCCCCTCATGCAGGGTGACACAGCCATGAATCTAGCTGAGGGCTGGTAATATAGTGGCTAACAGAGAGAGGACCGGGCTGAGAATATACTGGTTGGCTGGTTGAAAGGCTGTTTGAATCTGAAGGCTGAGAATATACTGGTTGGCTGGTTGAAAGGCTGTTTGAATCTGAAGGCTGAGAATATACTGTCTGAGACTAAGAGGGAGAGAGAGAGAGAGAGAGAGAGAGAGAGAGAGAGAGGGGGGGGGAGAGAGAGAGAGTGGGGGGGGGGGGGGGGGGGGGTAGACGCTGTTATAATGTGAAGGCTGAAAATATACTGGCTGGTTTTTGTTCGGCTCCAGACACAACCACTTAGCAGATGAATGAAGCATGCTCCCTGCTCCCTCTCCCGCACTAAGTCGCACGACGTGGCACCACACAACGCAGCAAGATGAGTGCTGCTGAGGCATTTCACACAGCCGTACAAGTCACAACCACTTGCACATACAGATACACACACTCACAGGGAACAGATCAAACTTTTTTAAGGAAACTGACCGTTCCTTCATAGCATTTAACACAGTAATCATTTAGTAAATGTAGCTACAGTATTTCTATGCTAAAAGTGCTACCTGTAATGTGCGACTTCCCTTTTATCTTTCAACATCCTTTATACCTCCATTATCAATATCAAAACCAGGGAAGTGTTTTAGGAACTGAGTTACAGATGGGAATATTTTCATTTCTTTGCTTTCCTCTTTAGCTTAATTGCCAAGCTGGGCTGAGGGTATCAAGTTACTCCTCCACAGCCCGAGACTGACAGACAGAGACAGAGCGTTAACTCAGTGTTAGCTCAGTCCTGGCCTGAACTGACAAGAGACGTTTATTTTTAATAATAATTCCACAACAGTGGAGCCCTGGCAGTATTTGTATAAATTATAACTAAGTGGTTAGGCCTGGAGGTGATCTTGGTACTGGAGAGTGATTACAGACTCAGCTAACATATACTAACGCTGATAATTGGTCTATAGAGAAGAGAGAGAGAAGAGCTGCTTTCCATGGGGATAATATGCGGCTGCTGAAGACAAGCATATGAAATACTGTAATATACTCTATATAAATACTCGAACAATTACAGAGTATTACTGAAGACCCCACAGATTAATTTCCCATAGAGAAGAGAGAAAAGCTGCTGTCAAAGAAGGGAAGAGAAATGAGACAAAAAAATAGAAAATAGATAATAATTATAAGAATTTGGTTGCCGCTTATATTTGTCCTATTTCACACAAGTACACGTGTATTAATACACGTGTGTGAATTGGATTATTATTATTTTTGCATATCTCCCTGAGACACCCTCGGAGAGTGTGGTCACGGCCAGGGTCTGTTATTATCAATGGCGACCCAGGAGCAATTATGGGTAAGTGCCGTGCTCAAGTGTATCTATAGGCTTGCGTTGTTGTCATTATTAGCGGCTTGGGTCTTTTTTAATATCGAGGAATATTTAACTTTCTCTGTTCATAGGAGTAAAATGAATTTGTGCATGAGGCAGAAATAATGCGGTGCGACTCGAGTTTCGCCATCAGCTGGAAGACGATGTCCCTTTTTGGTCAGTGTCAGTGGAGGAAAGGGAGAGCGGAGGGATGCTGAGAGGCGGACCCTCCGTCTGCTGCTCTCTCCCTCTGCTGAGACTGACCATCAGATGCAGGCACCATCAGCCCAGTAAAATAAAAATAATAAGCAAATGATTTAAATGTATGCTCACTCAGCTGTGCCTCACAAGTAATACAAGAGATTTATTACCGATGTGATCATATAGCCTACCTCAAATATATTTTAAATAAATGGCCTGAACAACAATGCATTGGCAGGACAATTCAAGTAAAGCCAATATTCGTTGATAATGTATTGGGCCTATAGCCTACTGCACAAACCTCATTGCTACAGTGCTGTTTTTAATTGGTTAATGTTGCATAGGCTTACATTTTTTTAAGTAATAAAATAAATATATTGAACGGTAGATCTCGGCTTGCATTTTGACTCAGAACGTGATCTTGACTCAGAAAAGGTTGGTGACCACTGTTCTAGAGTTTTCCCTGTTAACACTATCAACGTTTCCCTTTACTGTGGCAATTGTGATCGAATCAACACAATATTAGCCACTTTCAATGCAAAATACCGAAACAAAACTAACTATGCAAGAGATTTTGTTGTAGGCAGAACACATCGGAGTAGGATTCTATTGCATTGACAGGCATGACTCAGGCATATACTACACAGACCGGTGTGGCATAAACAATCAGAGCTGCAGTTGGCCAATATGCAAATAGACCATTGCCATATATGGATCTGTGCCGTTTACTTTGAACTGGATTGTATTTACAGCATGAGCGGTTCTGAGTAGATGCGCTTGTTTTGAGATCAAAGCAAGAGCTGCATGTAGCCACATGTGCACATTTTTGTTCATATCATTTGCTAGTTAGTGATTTATTAGCCCAGTTATAGATAAATTGTAGTCAGCAATAAGGGAGTGATTGCTTCCTAGAAGAGCACAAAACGTGTACATTTCTAGACATCTTTGAAAAGCGAGTCCGGCAGTGTTGTATTTTGAGACAGGCTAAGTAGCCAATAGGCAGAGGGTAGCATAATTTGTCTGGTTCTCTGTAATAATGGTATGGGAATAATAATACATTTTATTTTGTAAAATGGTTTCTTGCATCAAACACAACAACATTTTCAGTCACCTCCTTGTCTGAAGGACAACTGGATAAACAGGTTAATGTCAAGCCCTGTATGTTTTTTTGAAAATTGTCATGGAATGTTTTTGTACATTGAACACCACACATTGGATACTACTGTAGGCGGAATGATAGAACAGCTGTTAAAATGTTATGGGATGCATTTTCTCTATTGTTTTTAATGGTAGGCGGCGGCTTCTTCTTCTTCTTCTTCTTCTTCTTCTTCTTGGCGATCATACAATTTAAATGTACATCCGCCATCTACTGTGCAGGATGGAAACAGGATTCCCCCAAAAACTGAACAAACTAAATCTAACAACTTTTCTGTTAAAAAAATAAAACAGATCTGATCCCTACACAGGCTCAAGGGAGGGCGGGCCATCTTCCGGCGCCAGTACCCCTTGCAAGTCTTCATATGTAAAATCCTTAAGTCCAAAAATCTTTTCTGCCACAGCCACAATAATGTCCAGTTTCTTAGACTTATTTTAGACTTGAGCCGTACAGTTTATAACTGTGGCAATGAACGCCACAAAATCCACCTTTTTAACACACAGGGTATATTTTGACTGGCAGCAAACATTTACTACAGGCTGTGGTGCATCCACTACCATATCTTCACTAGCATCACTTGTTTTCTCAACTCTTTTAAATCGCCTCCGCATAGGAGATTCGATTGACCGCTTTAACTTTTGCCACCTCAATCTCCTTCACACTTACAGGGCACTCCAGGAACTCGGGATCATGATCCCCACCACAATTGCAACACTGTCTACACACCGTTCTTCAGTATACACCGTCCATCTGCACACACTTGAAACATGGCCAAATCATTTAAATGTTTTACACTGCAGTGGTTTGGGGACGAAAGCTCTTACGGCGTATCTTACATAACCAAGCTTCATATGCGTAGGTATTTGCTCTTTATCAAAAAACAACAGGACCGACAGACTTTCTTCTTTTTCTCCATTCACCCAGCGGGTCAGACGCCAGACACCAACCACACCAGGAATTCTCTTCAGGTATTCAACCTGAACATCTGTTATAACCCCTGAGATGACTACTTTGACGGGTGCTCTACTCCGAAGTTCAAAGCACAAAACTTCTGTTGTCCGGATTCTTTTGAGGCCCACTGCAATCTTCCTCTGTTCTTCAGAAATACAATTAATCAAAATAAGTCCACTCCTGGTCACTCTGACAGACTCCACTTTTCCCAGCACATACTTCATCATTTTCGGCACCTCAAACAGGTCTCCAGCATATGCATCATCCTTACTCAACAAACACATCCTAACAAAAAGCGATTTATTATCATTCATACATGTATCCTCCACTCCAATTTAAACTATTCCCTTTTTGTTCCAGTAATCGACACTACTGTTGTCCATTCAGGACATTTATCTTCACCAACTTTGCTCGACGCGCTGCTTGATTCGAACTCTGCATCCACTTCCACTATCTCTCGTCCCGTTGAGACCGTTCGACTCGAGAAAGCTCTAACAACAACAACGCCTCATCCAGTCTCGGATTGGTTGGCGAGAGCAATTCTTGATTACTTCTTGGTTGCAGACGGCGATAAGATTCGTTGTCGCAACCAGAAATGTCTCGACTCACCGCTGTCAGGGTGCCCCATACCTGCCACCCATGCTGTCTCTGGAGACTTCAGTAATACACCACTGCTGAAGATGAGAATAAAAATACTGTAATATACTCTGCAATTCTTTCTGCTCCTTTCCTCAGTTTCATAAACAAAAACAATAACAGATGTGCTGTTTCACCTTATGCTAATTCCAGCTTTAAACTACTGAGGTCACCATGTTGTCAGTCAAGTCAGCATCCCTCCCATTTCCCAGAAAAGCTTTCATAGTAGACTCCTGCTAAAGATGGGAGTTAGACTGAACTCCTACAACATAACAAGACAGAACAATATTTTATAATTTGTCATAGTTGGCAATTGGTTTATCTGTTTTTTTTAATGTTCCCCAGAAATTCACCCACATAATCCACACTCACACAGTCACAACCTAACACATGCATACACACGTACACATACTCAAATGCATGCACACACACACGCGCATGCACACGAGCGCAAGCGCACACACCATAGTGCCCTCAAAGCTCATCACTAAGCTAAGCAGCCTGGGACTAAACCCAGACTATTTTGCTGCGACTCGCTGTTTATTATCTATGCATAGTCACTTTAAACCTACCTTCATGTACATATTGCCTCAATTACCTCAACTAACCTGTACCCCCGCACATTGACTCTGTACCGGTACCCCCTGTATATAGCCTCGTTACTGATATTTTATTGTGTAGTTTATTTAGTGAATATTTTCTTCACAGTAAGGTCTACACCTGTTGTATTCGGCGCAAGTGACAAATACAATTAGATTCGATTTGACACACACGCACACACAAAGCAACAGTAGCAGGGTTTGTGGGCTGTTAGCCAGCAGAGAAGTTCCCCAACTGTCACCAGCCAGCCGCTCAGCACATACACGCTCACACATCAATTTTATATCCACTATAAAGCTGTCGTCTGTCCATAAACAGGCTGAGTGGCACACACTTTCACCTGGCTCTGCACTGTCTCACTGGTTCACAGGCCTATCAGAGTCACAGTACAGCCCCAGAGGGGCGGAGCGTGGGAGGAAGAAAGAAGTCCCATTTGTTGTATTCTTTTCTCTTTAGATTGACTCAGAGTGAGTTCTTCTTACTGAAAATGTAGCAAAATGGCACTTGATACAGAGCATTTACTTATCTCTCTGTTAGAAATAGAACAAAATGTTGGATAACTTCCCTAATGAACAGCAGGTTGGTGTTTATTGTCATGAGTCTTGTCCTGGAGGCAGAGCTGAGTGATTTCCCCTTAGATTCCCCGTTGGCCAGCTGCAAAGTCAACATTGGCTAGATTGAAAACATTTATGAAAATAAAATTAATCTAAGGTTAGGCATTAAGGTTAGCAGTGTGGTTAAAGTTAGTTTAAACATCAGATGTTATGATTTTGTGGCTGTGCCAGCTAGTGACCACTCTGCAAAGCTGCCTCCAGAACAAAATTCATGACGAAAAACGCTAACCTGCTAATGAACAAGGAAATCAGAATACAGACAAAAAAACGATTGAAAAACAATTACGATCATTTATACTAACAGAGGTCACCATGTCTTCAGTTAAACTCCCACCAGGTGCACTTTGCCATGTTATTTGTCTACACACTAAATTACATAGGAACACACACCTGTTTCAGAGGGAAACATGAGGGTATACATTGAATGCCTGAACTGTGCTGAGTACAGGAAGATTAGTTATACTGTGTGCTATCAAGGTTAAAACAAGGTGGACATGTCTACTGGCTGGCGGTACACTTACCCTTCGTTGCGGAAGATGGTTCTAAAGCAGTCAGCGAGACTCTTGTAGCTGTGTGGATCACTGGTGCCTCTCTGGATCTGAAACCTGACAGAAGACATCCCATTAGAACAAATATATTATACACTGAGTATACCAAATATTAGGAACAGCCCCCCCCCCCCCTCAGAACAGCCTCAATTCGTCGGGGCATGGCCCATGATGACGCCAATGGCACTTAAATCTTTTGTCTTGCCCATTCTCCCTCTGAATGGCACACATACACAATCCATGTCTCAATTGTCTCAAGGCTTAAAAATCCTTCTTTAACCTGTCTCCTCCCCTTCATCTATACAAATTGAAGTGGATTTAACAAGTGACATCAATTATGAATTATAGCTATGTCATGGAAAGAGCAGGTGTTTTTAATGTTTTGTACACTCAGCGTACATTACAAACCTCAAAACACAGCTATGGCAAATCTATGGATTTCTGTTAAATGCAATGGGAATATGTACACATAAGTAAACCGTTTTTTAAATCCCAATGAGGATAAGTGATATGGCTGTTCTTTGAGAAACTCTCATCTTGGAATGTTGATTACATGCATGTCATGGATTGAATTCAAAGGGACATCATCATCCTAATTATCATGTAAATGTCCACACACTTATCCATTTCCTCTCCTCCTCCCTCCCTTCCTCCCTCCCTCCTCTTCCTCCACTCCTAACCACAGGTCCCTCCAGCCCAGAGGAGAAGTCAAACATTTACTTAACCCAGCCTATATCTAATTAGCCCCTCAACTCCCCAGGACCAGGACCAAGCTTTATGTAGCTAGCACTGAATGTTGCTAACACGCTAGTAAGAAGCATTGTAACAGCTCCTGAGTTACGTGTAAATGTTTTAATATGATAGAAGCAGTTGATGAGATTTTGTGTTGTACTAAACATGCTGCTAACCCCCTAATAAAGACGCCTGAGCTCTGTGTAAATCTTTTACATGATACAACCGGTGGAAGTGAGGGGATACAGAGGGGTGGGCAGTAGGGCTGGGGTTTTGGTGAGGGGATGGCTGAGGGCTGCAGCGCATTGGCGACGCTGGGGGCGTGAAAGCTATAAACAGGGGTAGGTTGGGGGCCATCAAGGCTGGGGTATTGGGGAGAGGATGGTTAGGAAAGGTTAGGGTTATACATTTGGAGAAGAGAAGGTTGGGATGCTTTGAAATGATTTTATTTCCACTGCTGAAGGCCCTTTGGCTCTCTGGACATGACTCCTAGACCAATGAAAGGATGGCACAGCAAACAGAATCACCAATCAGCACATGAACTTAACAAAAGCACCCCTGAACATTACAATTATTATGAGAAACAACTGGAAGACAGAGGAAAGAAAGACAACGAGAGACAGAAGAGGGGCCAGTGACGGAGACATAGTGGAGAGGAGTCTGGGAGGAAGAAGAAAAAGATGCTCTCCTCATACGGCTCTCAATGGCAGGTCATGAGGTCAGCAGTGCCTGATGGAGCCATAAAGGGCCCCGGGGCCTAACAGGGGAGGATGGGTGAGTAGGGGGAGAAGAGTAAGAAGGGGGAGAGGGGACAAGGGGGGAGAGGAGTAGGGGTGATGATAGGGGAGGGGCAGGGGAGGAAGAGGAGGTTGGAGAAGAGGGAGGACGGGTGAGGTTTAGTGGGGTGAGCAGACCTCATATCGCCAACACATTAACATCTTACAGGGGTTGTCCCCAAAATCCTATTTGGTGGATTCCCCAATAGCTTGTAACCCGTGGCTGAGCCCCAGTTAAAACAGAGTAATAAAGAGACGTCCAACACCATATTAAAAGACAAGAAGAAAAGGAGTAGAAGAAAAGGGGACTATGAGAGAAAGGAGGGGGGTGTTAGGGGTGTAAGGGGGAATTGGGGTGCCGTAGGGTGGGGGCAGACCCAGAAGATTTAAGACCAGTGGGGCTTGTAAACAAATTCAAATCGAGCATAATTAAAGGCATATGAGTCCAGGGTCAAAGCTTGAAGGGGTCCTGTCCCTTAGTAACCCCTGATCCCGCTTGCTCTCGCTCTCTCGCCTCTCTCTCTCTCTTCTATCTCTCTCTCAGGGCCAGTTCGGCTCAGGGTCGGGGGGTGGGGGAGAGAGGTGGAGTGTGAGAGAGAGAGAGAGACAGAGAGAGGTGGATCAGAGACAGAGATGGAGAGAGCAGGGTAGAGGTAGAGGTGGCAGGGCCATGGTCCAGTCTCAGCCCCCTGACCTGGGGTCAGCTCATTTCCTCATGGCCCTTCTCTACCCTACCATAAAACCAGGACCAAACAGCTAGGCCCAGGGAGGGAGAGATAATGGGGAGGAAGCCTTAAGCCTCAATAGGAGGAGAGGAGGAGGAGGAGGAGGAGGAGGAGGACGACCAGAGAGAAGGCCATGGCCCTGGAGGAGAAAGAAGCCTCGAGTAGAGAGGAGGGAGGTAGAGATAATGGGGAGGACCACAGAAATAGAAACCAGAGGAGAGGAGGCCTTTGGGCCTGGAGGAATAGGTAACCTCAGGCATCAGGGGTGTTGGTGTGGGAGGGTGTGACCACTAGCTACTAGTGTTGACTTGCCTTTCACAATCAATGTGAAGAAGAGCTGAAATGACAAATACTGATCATGACGATCGTCATTTGCCCTGCAAGAGAATATCGAGTTTGACAAGGCATGAGTTCTGTAGAGTAGATAAGGAGTTTTATGAAGTAGACAAGGAGCTTCCAGTGTTAATGTGAGCCAGACGAACGCTGAGCGTTTTGGTCGGCTGGTAGAGAGAGAGATAAGCTGGCGTCAGTGAGTGACTCTGCTCTGGCGGATCCTCTCGGCCTTGGATCCTTGGATCCTTGGAGCCAGGAGCAGCCGTCTTGGCGTCGTAAACTCAGCAGACAGACAGAACAGGAACCAGAGGAAAGCCCAGGGGCTCCTTTAAAACATCACGCTCCCAGCATCCCTCTCTCCCTCCCTCTCTTCCCGGGCCCGAACCAGACGAGATATACTCAGAGGTGATGAGATGTGTGAGTTCATCGACAGTCACTACTCCCCTCCTCTCCCCTACTTTGACAGTAATCAACTCTCCACTCCCAAGACCCACCCCCCTCCACTCTTTGTGGCCCTGGCCCGGTTCTACAAGCCCTGGGAGCTTCACCATGAGGCTGGCCAGGTGAGGGGGTAAGGGGGTGAAGGACAGGGCAGATTGGTGCTTCTGTGAGCCCATAGCATTCAGGGTTAAATACTCCTCCATCCCTTCACCCCAACCACCTGACCCCAACCTCCCTATAAAAGACACAGATCCTAGATCCGATGCTGCGTCCCAAATGGCACCCTAGTCCCTTTACCCTTTACAGTGCACTACTTTTGACCAGAGCCCATAGGGGCCTGGTCAAAAGTGTAGTGAACGATGTAGCAGCAGTGTTTCAGGGCCAAACAGAGCACCATGGACCAGGGGCAGTGTCCCCCAAAGTATCCCAGAGGTAAATGGGGACCGGGGCTTGGGGACCGACCAATTTATTTATATATAAACACTAGATGACTGACAGAGGCCGCTGTTTTGAAGTCACCGCACCTCCATCTTGGCACTCCCCCACCATTGTAAAACATATTTTGGAAGCTATTGAAATGCATTTATTAATGTCTACATTTGTTTTTGCCACGCTTATTCTATTACAAACACCGGCACACTTTTAAATTGTATTATGCGAGCTAAACAAACAAGCAACAAAAATAACCCTAAAAATCCTTAAAGTATAAAGTTCTAATGTTACTGTCGTCACTACAACAAAAAATACTTAGATACATGTCATTTTGTCCTTGAAACATTTAATTGAAATACTGTCGAATTCCATTCATTCCTATGAAGGACTGCTTCTTCTGAGGAGTGCCAACATGGCCGACCGGTGGCTTCAAAGCCTCTCATTGGCCAATACATATCATCAGCAATCCAGGGCTTATATACATCATTGGGACCGACAAGCATGCACGCACACACATGCGCACTCAGACACACGCAAGCACACACAATAATGATGGTTTAAAAGAACTGCCGATGGGAAGGGCCAGGGGTTATTGGGTTGATCAAAAGGCAAGAGGTTTGATGAGCCTGATTTTAAAAGGGCAGGCCGCTCTTTTAAAAGGAGTCTTTTAAATTTGGCCTTGTTAAATTGTGTTGGGTATTCCCTATGCGAGAGGAGAGGAGAGGAGAGGAGAGGAGAGGAGAGGAGAGGAGAGGAGAGGAGAGGAGAGGAGAGGGAGAGGAGAGGAGAGGAGAGGAGAGGAGAGGAGAGGAGAGGAGTAGAGCGAAGGAGAGGAGAGGAGTGGGGTAGAGCGAAGGAGAGGATAGGTGAGGAGAGAGGAGAGGACGGGAGGGGGCACTCAGTCTCTTTCATAAATGATATTTAGCACTTCAAACCCCTCCTATCCAAAATATTCATTGTAAATAATAAATACGATGGAATTATGATGTAAATAGTTCCAGAGCTCTATATTTATTACATCTAAGATTAGAAAATACGTCATGTGCTCCCTCGTAAACGTTTTAATAGCTTAGCGTCAGATAGTGGTTGTTTGTTGGTATCTATGTGGACAGTTCTCTATAGAGCCAGTCCCAGAGTCCCATTCCTGGTCTGTCAGCTTACACCTTCCTGCATGATAGAGTGTAAAGTGCCCTGACAGAATAGGAAAATAAACGAGAGAGGTGGAAAGAGTAAATGAGTGGTGGAGAAAAAGAGGGAGAGAGAGAGGGGCAGAGAGAGAGAGAGAGAGAGAGAGAGAGAGAGAGAGAGAGAGAGAGAGAGAGAGAGAGAGAGAGAGAGACCCAAAGAGAGTCAGGCTCTGTTAGTTATCTGTAATCTGAAATATGAAGTGCATAAGAGAACCCAGCATTAAAAGGAAATCAATTTTTTACAGCCAGACAGTTAATGTTAATGAGGGAGATCATAAAGACGGCAGAAGTCCATAGCATCGGTACATGAGGTTAAGGGCAGGGCAGCTTTCTAACCTACAATGATACAACATGGAACTCAGAGGGCAGGGTAACACCCAATCAGAGCCCCAGTTAGGTAGGACCAATCGCTCGTCAGAGCAGGGAGGGAGAGACCAAAACAAAATGGTTCCTCTCTAACATCCGCCGAGAGATTGCCTGGATAAATCACTATGTTACTGTATTGACCAAATCGCTTAGTGTAGAGCTAGTTAACGACTCGAATACATTCAAATATAGTGATATCTTTACAGGATGTCTGCTATATAGCAATGGATTACGGCCTTATCTTCTCATATTAGTGCTCATAAAGTTTGATGATAATTCCAGGAGACATGCACACTTTAAAGTGATAGATGAAAAAAGTCAACAACAGGGAAAAGTAATAAGACCAAATCCCATTCAGAAATAAAACACATTCTTTCCTTGACAAACTTTTAGTGGAGAGAGGGAGGAGGAAGGGAAGAGGAGGATGCCAATAAAGCCGATCCTTCGGAGGGAAAGAGATAAAGAAGAAGAGGGGGAAGATGAGAGTAGGAGAGGAGAAGAGAAGGAGAAAGGAAGTGATAAACTCATGGCGCTTGTGACCCGGCAGGACTCCAGGGTTTGGTCTGGACCAGGCCAGGTTGGGTTTCACCTACACCACAGGCCCACTGGACGAGAGCGAGAGAGAGCGAGAGAGAGAGAGCGAGAGAGAGAGTGTGTCAGAGAGAAAGAAAGCGTATACGTGTGTGTGAGCATCCATGCGTGCCCACGTATGTGTACCTAACCCAGGTTATGAAGGCGTCCATGTTGTAGGGGAGGAAGGGAGGGAGGCTGTTACAGGTGATCACAGATTCACAGCCATGACATGACTACTACCGCTGCCTTCTGTCTCCCATTGCCCCTAACCCTGTCTCCTACTAAAGGCTAACTACTTCCCAGCCGAAACAGTTCGGAAGAGTTTGTGCATATATTATGACAATTTTGTTATATTTTTGTTCGTTTTTGACTTTTTTCATTTAGAAATACTGCACCAAACATCTTAGTCAGATGTAAAATTGCTCGACTAAGATCTCCTCTGCAAAAATGTCAAAATGAATGACAGATTATCTTTTTGAGGAAGTGTATACTGCGTCTCAAAATGGACAAACAGTACTATTGCCACTTTCTTCTCGTTTTTCAAGCGAAGGTCTTTTAAGGGAGTATGCGAGCACAGTCGTTCGGTTCGCCTAGCTGACTTCGGCTTGCCGCCAGCCGAACTGAAGCATGCTGAAGCATTTACCCCAACTCCTACTGGCCCTAACCCTGTCTCCTACTGGCCCTAACCCTGTCTCCTGCTGGCCCTAACCCTGTCTCCTGCTGGCCCTAACCCTGACTCCTGCTGGCCCTAACCCTGTCTCCTGCTGGCCCTAACCCTGTCTCCTGCTGGCCCTAACCCTGTCTCCTGCTGGCCCTAACCCTGTCTCCTGCTGGCCCTAACCCTGTCTCCTGCTGGCCCTAACCCTGTCTCCTACTGGCCCTAACCCTGTCTCCTCCTGGCCCTGACCCTGTCTCCTCCTGGCCCTGACCCTGTCTCCTCCTGGCCCTAACCCTGTCTCCTGCTGTCCCTAACCCTGTCTCCTGCTGGCCCTAACCCTGTCTCCTACTGTCCCTAACCCTGTCTCCTGCTGTCCCTAACCCTGTCTCCTGCTGGCCCTAACCCTGTCTCCTGCTGGCCCTGACCCT